CACCATCAAGTGCGGGATCTACCAAGGAGATGCTCTGTCCCCACTGCTGTTCTGCATAGGCCTGAACCCCCTCAGTGAGATCATTAACAAGACTGGCTACGGATACCGACTACAGAACGGAGCAGTTGTCAGCCACCTCCTGTACATGGATGACATCAAGCTGTATGCCAAGAGTGAACGAGACATCGATTCACTGATCCACACTACCAGGCTATACAGCAATGACATTGGAATGTCGTTCGGACTGGAGAAGTGTAGTCGGATGGTAACAAAGAGAGGGAAGGTAGTCAGAACTGAGGGGATTGAACTACCAGAAGGCAACATTGCAGACATAGAGGACAGTTACAAGTACTTGGGGATCCCACAGGCGAATGGGAACCATGAAGAGGCCGCTAGAAAAGCTGCAACCACCAAGTACCTGCAGAGGGTCAGGCAAGTCCTGAGGAGTCAGCTGAATGGTAAGAACAAGATCCGGGCCATCAACACGTACGCCCTGCCCGTGATCAGGTACCCTGCTGGGTAATAGGCTGGCCAAAGGAGGAGATAGAAGCCACTGACATAAAGACAAGAAAGCTCCTTACCATGCATGGAGGGTTTCACCCCAAATCCAGCACCCTGAGGCTGTACGCTAAGCAGAAGGAAGGGGGCCGGGGACTGGTGAGTGTCAGCACCACAGTCCAGGATGAGACAACGAACATCCAAGAATACATTAGGAAGATGGCCCCAACTGACCGAGTGCTCAGTGAATACCTCAGGCAGCAGAAACCCAAGAAAGAGGAGGGAGACGAGGAACCATCATGGAAGGACAGGCCCCTGCACGGTATGTACCACCGGCAGATAGAGGAGGTGGCTGATATCCAGAAATCCTACCAGTGGCTGGACAAAGCTGGACTGAAAGACAGCACAGAGGCACTAATCATGGCAGCACAAGAACAAGCTCTGAGCACAAGATCCATGGAGGCTGGGGTCTATCACACCAGGCAAGACCGCAGGTGCAGGCTGTGTAAAGATGCCCCAGAGACAATCCAGCACATAACAGCAGGGTGCAAGATGCTAGCAGGCAAGGCATACATGGAACGCCATAACCAAGTGGCCGGCATAGTGTACAGGAACATCTGTGCCGAGTATAACCTGGAAGTCCCGAGGTCAAAATGGGAGATGCCCCCAAGGGTGGTGGAGAATGACCGAGCTAAGATCCTGTGGACTTCCAGATACAGACGGACAAAATGGTGGTGGCTAACCAACCGGACATAGTGGTGGTAGACAAACAGAAGAAGATGGCCGTAGTGATCGATGTAGCGGTTCCGAATGACAGCAATATCAGGAAGAAGGAACACGAGAAGCTGGAGAAATACCAAGGGCTCAGAGAAGAGCTCGAGAGGATGTGGAGGGTGAAGGTAACGGTGGTCCCCGTGGTAATCGGAGCACTAGGTGCGGTGACTCCCAAGCTAGGCGAGTGGCTCCAGCAGATCCCAGGAACAACATCGGAGATCTCTGTCCAGAAGAGCGCAGTCCTGGGAACAGCTAAGATACTGCGCAGGACCCTCAAGCTCCCAGGCCTCTGGTAGAGGACCCGAGCTTGAAGGATAAACCGCCCGCAGGGGCGTGCTGGGTGTTTATATATATACGTATACATATATATATGTATATGTATATATATATGTGTGTGTGTGTGTGTGTGTGTGTGTGTGTGTGTGTGTGTGTGTGTGATATTTGTATATGTATAAAACACACAAGTTTTTTCTGATCTTAGAGCAGTTAAAGCTAAGACAAGCTAGTGGCACGCTAGACAGAATGTAGTAGCAAGTTACTCAAAAAATTAATAAATAAATATATATTTAACCCTTGTGTGGTGTTCGTATTTTTGTTACTCAGCCAGTGTTCATGGGTCTGGTGGACCCACTAGAGTTTTGGCTTTCCAAATTAACACTATCAAACAATTTTATGTTAAATTACTCAACAGATGTTTACTTCATCCCAATTACAAGACATATGAACAGCAAACATGGTTAATTTTTTCCCTTTACCTTTGTTAGATCACATTTATGAATTAATGTGCTTCTCGTTTTTCTTTTATATAAAATGTTATAAATAAATCAGTTATAATCAAGTGGAGTGAGTGGAAAGACACAACACATTTACACGTGAAAAAATAATTAATTGTTTAATTTTTCTTTTGAAAAAAACTGAACACGGGTCTCACAGACCCGAACACCATACAAGGGTTAAAAGACATTAATTTTAAACAGCTGGTTAGCTCTTGGAGTCTGCCTAGTTCTAGCCGTTGTTACAGGGTGTTCATATTCACAGAGTCAGAAACGTCTTGGTGACCTGACATCATTAATTCTGTTTGTCAGATACAAAACTCTAATTAAAGCTCAGCTCTCATGGACAGTAATTAAAAACAATGAGAGCCCTGTTTGAAGAAGAAAAGAAGGTGGGAAACAAGGCTGTCACTCCCTTTGTTTTCTTGTTAAAATAAAACTGATGGCATGAATATCATGTGAGGAGGGGAGGCGATAGCGCACAAAAGGTGTCAGGTTATGTTTTGGTGATGAAGTATATTCATTTGTATTTCTAGCTGAAAGGCAGGAGAGATAAGCAGGCTTAAAAACAAAGCAGACAGGAGAAAAAGCTGGGCAGAAAAGAGACAGGAAGTCAGATAACAGCAAATTTGGTTATAGGCAGAGATGGAGGGAGAGACACGAGACTAAACCGGACGATAAGACAGAATGGACTAGTGTGGTCATGATCATTACAGCATTATAAATTAAAACTACTGTGGAAGTTGTTGTTACGGGGCTCTGCAGTAAACAACTAGCTTTCAAGTGGATCCTGACTGACTAGACTTTCATGTTTTTCAGCACAGTAAATATCACGTCAGGCTACCAGTCATGTTGTATCAGATATGATGTGAATATGAGTTCCCAACGGGAGAAAAACAGCCTTACGGTAATCACAAGCATGACACACTCAGTTTTTTTTTAATTATTAAAAATTATTTTTCTAGCTTCTGAAATCTTCTTAAACTGCAGAATTGAGCCAGAGGCTTTGTCGGTCCATTCCATTAAAACCTAAGAGGAAAAAAAAAGATCAGTATTGTGTCACTACATCGTATTGCCAGCCTTGGAGATGTTTTCAAAGAGCGAAGAGGGAAGCAGTTCAGGAACGGGATGAAAGAAGAAGGATGAGAATCTGTGTCAGTTTCAGCATGGCATGATGATCAATGTCCAAATCGTTGTTTGATGAATGATTCACTTTAGTTGCATCTTTTCATCGGGAAATGCAATGAAGTAAGGCTCACATACACACAAGTACAATCACTGAAATCAGGCACATCAAAGTCCAATCCATAACAGATGATTAATGAATGACTTTCATAATTACACTGTTGATGGGGATAACTAGCTGTTGTTTCGCAGTGGTTAAGTTGTACATTTCTTTTTTTTTTTGTTTCCTTTTGTGTGTTTCATGCACTCATGAGGATGACAGCAAGTCTGGGTCAAACGCAGGTTAAAGGCCTCTGGTGGAGGAATTGAAATGCCAATATCAATTTCACAGAATAATGTGAAGGGAAGCCTTTTCCCTGTGAGGCTAACTAAGATGTGCAAAGAGACAGATGATGAGAAAGAAAAGGAGGGAAGAACAGATTATCACAAACGGGCACTTGAACAGAAGCACCCAAATCTCTCTTCTGTTTCTCCTGGTTTACACCGTGTAAGTGCTTCACTTCCTTGAGACACATCAGATTCGCTTCATCTACTTGAGACAACCTAAAAACATAAATAAATATAAGTTTTTTTAAAAAGGACAAAGGGAAGTGTATTTGGAATTGAGCAAGTCTATTTCACAGTTGTTGTCACTATCAATTAGCTGTCATTCATGTTTTGGCTAGATAACTTTCCCCTGGGAGGAAATCAAAACTTTGAAAAATAATTAAAAGAGTTGCTGCTGTTTTGATGAGATACATAATATTTTACGCTGGATTAGAGCCTAAACCATGGTTAATCCCCAGAGAAAGGTAACTGGCTAAATGTCAGCTAGCATCCTGTTAAAACATGCAAATTACATCATCCCTTCTCTGTTTTCCACTTAGCCCATCTTTCTGTTTTTACCCCTGTAAAACCTCAGCTATTAAATTGTCATTGTTTCATCATATACCTTAGAGTTAAACTAATAGAACTGCAGCTGCGAGCTGGTGAGCCTTGTAAACAATGACAAAAACACATTAGACAACCGGCGTCGCTTTCATATTCTTGGCGATTTACATTTTTATTAGTCCATCATGATGTCTAAATGGAAGAACTTGCAGCTTCTTGTACTGTAGCGCTGTTCATGACTATGAGTAATTACAGAGCGTAAAAAGTCTGGTTTCATTTGAAAAGTAATACTATATTTCTCTGGGCTTTATTAAGACTTAATGGAGTAATCATGGCAGTTAATGGATTTATTACTGTGGTGCATTACCTTGAAAAGATTGGGTAACATGGGTATTAGAGTCATACTTTAAAAAAAATGTATTCCTATACTTTAATAAGACCTGCACTCAGTTAATTCCAAACCATCTGGGGATATATGAACTGCATTAGAATTTTCTGCCTACTCTTAATCATTCTGTCATAAACGCTGTTAATTTTCCCTCTCCCTTCTTGTCTCCTCCTGTCTATGTTGTACAGGCATTCTACCTTTCGTCTGAGATCGAGCACGTCCTCGTTGGTGCTATCGAGTCATACGGTTTTACGGGGCCATGAGTAGCTGCTGGGTTGACAGTCTCCAAAACCCTTTGACATGGAACACCTAAAATGGGGACAGGACTTGCTGCCATGCTGCAACCTCAGCTCTAATTGTTGAGAAGGAAGCCTTTACATTAACTGCTCTGTCTATTTAAACTTGCCTCCCGATTTGCATCGGTTCCAGCGTTGAACTTGAACTGCTGCTCTATCCATCCTTTCCCCGACCCCCCTACCCTTCTACTGAGGTGGCACTCAGACATCCAAACCATGGCCAGCAGACTGTCCCCTCTCTCTCCAACCCTGTGTCTCTCGCTCCTGCTCCCTGCACTGTTGCTCCTCCACCTGTCTGGCACAGTGAAAGGGGATTGCTGGCTGATAGAGGGGGAAAAAGGTTACGTTTGGCTTGCTATCTGCAGTCAGAACCAGCCTCCATATGAGACCATCCCCCAGCACATCAACAGCACGGTCAGTATGACTATCTGCAGGCCAGTTGTGCTCTATCACTATAGCAACCTCTGCTGAACCTGTGCCTCCATGATGATGTTGACTAGAAAACAGTGATTCTAATGTTCTTACACTCAGTGTAATGGTCATTGTAAACTATGTGAATGTGAAGGCTGTTTTATGTCTGTTCCCTAAATATAGTTGGTATTGTAATGTACTCAAATGTATGATGTCACTGACATCTTATAATGAAAGCAACATATATTTTAGTTGGCGTAACACTGCACAATTGCCAGTGTAAGTGATTAAAACGAGACAACGTAATATGAAGATATTTTACCTAACTGGAAACCTAACCTAGCATAAAGACCTACATAATCTAGATGTTTCAGAAGCAGTGTACAAGAGCTTACAAATGCGCTGTGATTACTGGGGAATGCGACGTGTAACTGGGGAAATTTCTCATTAAGCAAAAACGTAGGTTCCAATATGCTTCTGTCTTTTTAGGTCTTCCCCTTATAACAGAAAAAGTAAAGTGAACTGTTGTCTTGTCTCTCTTAGGTGCATGACCTGAGGCTGAATGAGAATAAACTTAAGGCCGTGCTCTTTACCTCCATGTACCGCTTTACAAACCTTACTGACCTCAATCTAACCAAGAATGAAATCAGCTACATTGAAGATGGCGCCTTTGCTGGACAGGCCAACCTACAGGTCTGAAGCCAAAAGTGAAACTGCTTTTACTGTCTCTCTTTTTTTAAACTTTATTTCTTCACCTGTACATAAGGAAATAATAGACGTTCCTTAAGACTTCCGGAAAGTTCTCTTATATTCCTGCAAAAGTGGATGAAAAATGAGTAAAGTCTTTAACCTCCTAGGACCTGGTGTCCACATATGTGGACATCACATTTTGGGTTATTTAGACCAAAATACTCAATTTTGCTCTACAAGGGCCTGATATCCACTTACGAGGACATTATACTGCAACTGCTCTATCGAAATTTTAAATAAATATCCTCATATGTGGCTCTCATTTTTCTTAAAAAAAAAAATTAGGTAAAAAAAGAAAAAACTGGTAATTCTTTGTTTTTACATTCATCAGGTCCCAATATCCCCAAATATCAAAGAGAAATTAAAAATGCATGACGTGGAAGAGTTCAGGTCTTAGGAGGTTAAATATGAATCCCATTTAGACCGTGCTAAATGTAAGTGTTAACAGCAAATGAATCTGTGAATTTCTTGTGTATATCATTTCAGATGTTTGTCCGGTTGAATCACTCATGTCTTAACACTTGGTTAGATAATGCAGCAAAATGTTCCCAAATTGTTTCAGCTTAAACTGTGTTCTGACATCCTCTACAGAAAAGCAACAACCAATTAATGAAAATGTGGTGAACAACTGAGCATATTTTTTAACAGCCGATTGTCTCCTTGACCCAGGTTCTTCAACTGGGCTACAACAAACTAACCAACCTGACTGAGGGCATGTTGAGAGGTCTGGGTCGAATGCAGTGCCTCTTCTTGCAACACAACCTCATTGAGGTCATTGCCACCAATGCCTTCTGGGAGTGTCCCAACCTCAACAGCCTAGACTTATCTTCCAACAAGTTGGCCCGTCTTGACCCATCTACTTTAACGGTTCTCAGCAGACTGACAGTATGTGAACTAGGTGGAAACCCGTTCCACTGTGGCTGCGAGCTTTACAGTTTTCTCACTTGGCTGGATGAGTTTAACAATGTCACCCGCACCTATGACCGTCTCCAGTGTGAAACACCTCCAGAAATGACTGGCTATCCACTCTTGAGTCCCGGGTATGGAAATGGAAGAAATGCTCGAAACATATTATTATCAATGTGTCGTGATGGTGTGATAATTCCAGGGATGACCTCTCAGATGCCAGATCAAGATGGCTCAGGGATGGGTTTGGACCAAGACCAAGGTGTGTACCATCAGCCAACCACCTCATCCACTGCTGACCCTATCTATAACCCTCAAATTTCTATGAAGCTTCAAACAGTTGCTCCGTACACAGCTTCACTAATAGTCAAGATCCCACATCCCTACAGTAAGATGTATGTTCTCTCCCGGTATAACAACACTTCTCTTGAAGAGGACATATCCCTCAAGTCAAGCAAAGCCACGATAACTTTGAAGGGGCTGAAACCACAGTCCAATTACACCTGTTGTGTGGCTTCTGTAAGGAAGTCTCAAAAGTACAACCACACCTGCATGTCTTTTACCACACGAGCTACTGGACCACTGGACCACCAAACGAATCCTTCCACAACAACCCACTACATCATGACCATCCTGGGATGTCTGTTTGGCATGGTCATTGTTCTTGGATTTGTCTATTACTGTCTGAGGCGCCGACGCATCCAGGAAGAGAAGGAAAAAGCAATTAGTGTGAAGAAAACAATTTTGGAAATGAGGTATGAGACAGTGCATGTTTGTTAATCAAAGTTTTGGGGAACACAATAGAATCTTCTGTCATGCATCTTTGGATGTTGTAGCCAAAAACTGACATGACTATGTCCTGTGGGTGTAATTGACTTCTTTGGAACAATTTATTATTTCATTATCTCTTCATTAGTTGTTTTGCTGCAGTGCATTTCTTTTTGAATTTATGAAAGACCTCATTTATTCTAACTGCAAGCAATGGCTTAAAAAAATCAGTCATACTCTTTATCGAGTCTTTAGGTCATTTTTATAATTCTTTAAGCTTTAATTAAAAAAGCAAGGATTTTGTCATCTTAGGCCATCACTGAAGGGAAACCAGTTTTTAGAAAAGGTACGCAATATGGAAACAGAGTATTGTTTGTTTAAAAGTAAATCTGACCTTTTTTTTTAGGTATGGCCCAGAAGCAGCTGCAGCTGTAGTCAATGACCCAAATGCCATGCAGCGTCTTCAGGAGCAGGCTCACCACCAGCATCACCATTCAGGCGGTGCAGGAGCCAAGCTGCCCCAATCTGCCTCCTCTAGCACAGGCATGCTTCACGGTTCAGCCAACACCAGTTCTTCCCGCCTCTCCACCTTGCCACAGGTGGAAAAAATGGCCACTGCCTTCTCTGAGGCTATGGGTGGCAAGGGTAACTACATGGATATAAGGACAACGGGAATGGCAGGGGAAGGCAGGGAGGCAGTGATGGCAGCTGGAGGAGCAGGGCCAGGAGGGGAAGTAGTTGTGGATATGCGAGGTGGGGCTGAGAATGGGACGGAGGCTGGGGAGGATTCAGATGATGACGGTCGTGGCTCAGCATCAGAGATCTCCACCATTGCTAAGGAGGTCGATAAGGTGAACCAGATTATCAACAACTGCATTGATGCCCTGAAGCTGGATGCCTCAGCTAATGCTGTGACCACAGCTGACAATACCAGTTCTGTGTCCTCCCAGCCTCCTTGCATAGCATCGCTCCCGCGCAACCTTCTCCCCCTCTCTCCAGGTCACCCTGGAGATCAGATCATGGCTTCCTCTCCAAAGGTGCACCCTAAGCCTCACCTTCAACCTCATCCACAACCTCATCCTCAGCCAATTCCTCAACCACATCCTCAGCCACATCCTCAGTCCCATTCTCAGCCCCATTCTCAGCCTCATCCACAGCTCCATCAACAGCCTCACCCGCCTTCAATGGCCCCAGTGCCCCTGGTCATGCCCTTATCTGAGCGGCCTGGTATCAGCGGGGGTGGATTTCTCTCCCCTCCTTACCGTGATCCACCCCCAGCCAATGCAGTGCGGCCCCTTCAGAGGCAACTGAGCGCAGACACTGCTGTGGTTAAGAACCGCTGTGGTCCCCCTTCTGCAGGCTCTGCCAAGAACACAAGAGTGTATAGTGTAGACATCCCTGAGCAGCGCAGTGATCCTCCCAAGTACCCAGGAGAAAAGGGTAGCCCCGTGGGTTGTGTTGGAGCGGGAGGAAGTGGAGGAGGTGGTGGAATAGGAGGCTGTAACGGAAATGGAATGGGAAATATTAATGGCGGAGGCCTGAGCTTAAATGGGGGAGGAATGGGATGTAATAGTGGGAATGGAGGTGGCGCTGTAAGCTCTGGACAGCAGCAACAGCAGCACTTGGAAGTTCAGCCAGACTATCATAGCTCTGAGCACCGCCACTCCTTTCCTGCACTCTACTATGAGGGTGGCAATGAATCGCCTTCACCATCCCAAAAGGCTTCGTTTCTCAAGCCACTTGGGCGCACCAAGAGGGATGCCACATCCACCTACTCCCAGCTCTCACCTTCTCGTCACCACAACTACAACTCTGGCTACTCTTCCAGTCCAGAGTACTCATCTGAGAGCACACTGCGAATCTGGGAGCGATTCCGACCTTACAAGAAAAGCCCTAGAGAGGAAGCATCCTATATAGCAGCAGGGCATGCTCTGCGCAAGAAGGTGCAGTTTGCCAAGGACGAGGACCTTCATGATATTTTGGACTACTGGAAAGGTGTTTCCGCCCAGCAGAAGCTGTGAGCTGGGGAGCAAAGCTTATGTCCTAAGGGAGATTGTGGAATGAATGCCAACAGCGGACTACTGAAGAGGAACATATTAAGGTAGCAAGACAGATAATGTTTCCTCAGAGGTGTCTAGCGACACAGGTCATTCAGGCGCCTGTTCAAGAATTAAAGAGGTATTCTCCTGGTGATTTTTAAAAATTGATTTTGTGAAAATCCATTGACATTTTCAGAGGCTATTTCCAAGGTTCTCCTCTGTCTTCACCTCAACACGAATGATTTTTAACGAGAATCCTGCCTCACCCTGGGCACTTTGGTCCTTTCAGGCTTCACAGACCTGTTGACTAATCACTAATGATCAAAGGCGAGGTGATGACAAGCAAACGTCTTCTACCTCACTGCTGGCAAACTGGAGCTCAGCTATCTCCCCAGAAACAGCACCCATCATGACTTAAGCGCCATCTGTTTTTTCTCTAATCCCATCAAGCCGTTATTCACAAAACAATCATTCCATGGCACGGCAGTACCTGCTGTCCTATAGAAACATCATTTAGGATGGTAATGAGGAAGCAGGGTGAAGAATTAGGTGTGTTTTGTTTTAGAAAAGCCTGAATCTCCCTCTTTAGGGAAGACATTAAATGATACTTATCAGGTTAATTGTTCTTCCTGGCGATTAGCCGGTGTGAGAATAGTTCAGGAACGCTTTGTGTTGCGCACACTCATTGATTTGAAGCACCTACAAACAGATGTTCAGTAGTGTATGGACATGCACGTACAGTTTCTGCATGCTTGAGTGATTACTTGTGTGTGAAAGAGTAAAGTTCTGGTTGTCAGTGAGTCGTTTATTATTCTCAAGCTCACCCAAGGTAGCAAAGCCTGTACAGCTAATATATGGATAACAACAAAGTCAGGAAGTTATGAGTGAATGTGAGTGAGTACATAACTGTGTATTGTCTGTTGAGATAGCATGAAGACCCACAGGCATTTTTGTCCCATAGTCCATTTCTTATTTACAGTTGTAGCATATTTCTTTTCATAAGGGAAGTTATGAGATAAAAAATTTACATTTCAATAGTCCAAGTCTTGCAGAAATTACTTTAGGTTGAGTTATGCAGGTTTACAGGACAGCCATTAGCTCCTATATTAAAGAAAATGGTAATCATGTTTAGGAATAGAGGCAAACTAAGAATAAGTAAGGGTTTACTGTAGCAGCATCTCATTTTTAACAATTTCCCCATTATGCAGACAGACTTCAGTGTATTGTCAGTTGCCTTTGAATCAACTGAATGCAAGGAACCCTAAAAACAAAAAAGTGAAATGCTTCCACTACTACACGTTAAGATGAAATGAATAATACGCAGGGTGAAGACCCTAGGGATATACTCTGTCGCTACACTATATATGACCACCTTGTGCTCTGGGTGGAAGCTGGTAGCTCGCTAGACCTGGACCAAAGTGCCCTTGGGAGGTATGACTTTACAGGTTTCCATTATAATCTTTTCCATTGTGGTCAGCAAAGTATAAAGAAAACAAAGTTACAGCCTTGGTTTATTTAGGATTAGGGTTTAAAACTATGGTTAATACAATGAAAATGGATTAGAGGAGCAAGGCTTGGGACTGTTGTGGACTAAACAAGAGACCTTGAGCATTTTTATTTAATTTTCTGCCCAAATTCCTATTACAAGCTATAAATTCTTAAAATGCAAATATAACTCATTTCCCTCTGTTTTTCTGCCAACTCTGTCCAACTTAATGGGATAAATTAATGACTAATTTTTGAAGGCTGATGTTGTATCATCATCTGAGGTCAGAAGGCTCTGCTGATATTATTAACTCTGCAGGATTCAGAGCTTGACTGAAATTAATAACAGATAGCCTTGTTTCGCTGTCTGTCTACCCATTTTTTATTTATATAATGTCTCATCATTTTGCATTTCCCTCCATTTTTTGCAGGCAGGAATGATAGTCAGACACTGGCGTGAAAAACAAAAAGTCATTCACCTTCACTTGTGCAGGTGAAGGTGAAATTAGGCTATAACCTTCTGGGCTATGTTCTTTCTGCTTTGAGTATGATTGGTCTGGATTGGCCTGTTTGCAAGGCATGCAAGTAATGCATTCTTATTTGATTTTCCACAGGATTTAATCTGATGTTATTGTTTTGATAGGCCTTGAATCAAGCCACCATTGACAGTGTGAGTTTGATGGGGCATTTATTTACTCTTTCACCTATAAAATGTACGTCTAAAGAGTAGGCAGAGTCGCAAAGGTCAGCGCAAATGACCCCAAATCTGCTGTGAGAAATAGAAATGATCATGTTTAAAAGCAGTTGGGACATGTCATTTTATTAGATTTTTTAACACTGCACTTTGTTCTGCATAAATTGTCCCATCCAAATATGTTATAATTTGCCACCCTTTGTCACTAAAAGAAATGTCTGATTGTAATATATTTAATTTGTCTGAATGAAAATCACCTTCACTTCCACTGCAGCAGTGTGATGGCACAATCTCTCAAAACCTGGACCAAAAAAACCAAAACAAAGACAAGTCAGAGAATGTTTTTGCTTTTGATATTCTATTATTTTGAGTAATAACTGGCATTTCTATGTCATCTGTGGCAGTCAGTGCAATAGACCCACTGGTGTTTGCAATGGGATGTCAGCAGAATGTCATTACTTTATCATTAGATCAATAGAACCTAATTTGGGCGAGTGGTAGCGCATAAAAAATCCACAGTGTGAATTCCCTTGGGCACTCAGTTGGACCGTGTCCATTTTTTATAAAGTGCCTAGTGTTCTATTTTTGCCTTTTGTTCAAGTTTTACTGGCAGCTCCCCTATTTGTAACGTACAAAAGGAATCACCAATCAATTAGTTTTAAATTAGTACCACAGGCTATGCAGGGGTAGAAGCTTTTTAAAAAAATAATGGCTTAACTTGGAAGAAGAAGGGGCATCGAGCTGAGGTTACCCTCACGTACCCCGAAGGCATTTCTTTAGATGTAAGGAATAACATTAGCTCAGTTATTCATGGAATTATTCATAGTTTCCAATTTGCCATACGTCACACCATTACCAAGACCACTTTTGTCCACCAGTCCAGTGTTTATTTAAATCTATAAAATTACTCTTTAACCAAGCTGTTCTCCAAGCAGACTTTTTCCTCTGCCCCGGAGAGGAGTTCATACATGGTGACCAAGCTTTGCTCTTCTTTACTTCCACTGGTTGATACTGACAAATGTACAGATTCTATAACCTGGGATTTGATAGAGTGCATCTTCTTTCCAGTCTGTGTACTTAACCATGGTCATGTATGAAATCGTAGGCCTTCAGAAGTTAAAGGTAACAGGGAACAATTGAGAAAGCACAGCTTGTGGCAGTCTCACAAGTCAAACTACCTTTACCCAGAGGAGAGGAATTCAAGAGTACAATTAAACTGGTAATCAGGCATTGTGTATGCTCTGAACAAAAATAATTCGCTAGGCTTCTTTTTTTTTGTGCCACAAAACTGGCATTAACATCACGATTCTAGTCCTGGTACTTTGGGTTGAATGGGTCTGGTCTAAAAGCTTTTTATTAAGTTATAAACTAGAAGGATAGTTTCTATATGCCTCAAACAAATTCACGGTGGTTTCTAGACAATATCACTGGCTGCCTCGGGGAGTCATTGCTGCGCAAGTTTGGCTTCTTATTTCAGTTTCGTAAGTTTCTGAAGTTCAGGCTTATTGAAAAACACAAATCAATAGTCATGGAAAATCACAGAACAACCCTGCTCATTTCCTCCCTTTGGAGTTGTAGTTGTTCTAAATGTGAACCTCAGGCACAGAAACCAATGGGTTGCAATGGTTCCCAGGGAATGGCAGCGAGGTCTCTTTGCTCCTTTTTAATTAAACTTATGAATCCATAGGATGAAGTCTGCAGTGGAAACACTGGCTTTGTATTAATGCTGTAAACATTAAAACACTATACAGATAGCGTCTGGCTGAAGTAAACTCAGAAGAATTCCTCCCTCTATCCCTTTTTGCCTATTTTTCCTTTACCATTAACAAGGTAATGGACCACAGAAGCCTATGCTGCAAATATAACTTTTTGCCCGTTCTCCTTGAGTTTAATATCACTGTAGAAAATGGGAGTCTTGGGTGAGAAGTATGTGCTACAGGAAGTGTAACGTCCTGACAATTTAATCTCTTAACCTATCTTGGCACATTTATCTGCATTCTGCTAAACAAAGTAATCAATTTATGTTGTAAACATGTAAAATATGATACATTTTTAGATCAGATTACATTTCAGAAGCCACAGTTTGGTGCAATTTGAAGACGTGCATTTTTTGTGTTAAAGCGTGACACGATGGGACAGTCTTGCTTTCCCGGGCCAGGTTTAATTTACTGTTCATTCTGAGCTCTCCCTCCCTCCCTGCTGCTCTTGGAGATATTTTTTTCAGCTATGCTTTAATTTCTGTATTTGTTTATTTTACTTCAGAGTTTTCAACATACTGATCTAAGGACCTGTATTATAGGACCTGTAATAATGGAAAAGCAGTTATCAGCAGGTCAGTGCTATTCTCATTTTATCCACACTACGTGTTATGTTTGGGTTAAACCAAGTACAGACAGTGCTGTTGTACTTGGAGTTTGAGTTTTCATGGATTGTGATGAATACTAATTGATAGGCAGAGCCAAAGGTCCTCCAGTCTCACCACAGACTATTTAGAAGCTGAAGGGAATGAACCACAATCTGGTAAATCAAGTGATCTGTTGCGGAAGCTTAAGATTCGCATACGATTAAGATAAGACGTTTCTGAAGGCAATTTTCTTAGACTTGGAGAAGCTCCAACTTTCAAGAAGCACAGACTTTCAGTTAAAGTGTTTGGTGCAGTTCACCATTGGTTTTGCTAGGTTATCAGCCAAGCTAGCAGTTACCTGAGAGCTAATGAGGAATTCACTGTGGTTTTCAGTCTATCTGATTGCATCCAGAAACATTGTATTCTGCTCCTGCTGGAAATCAAAAGTGAACCAAGAAGTTTCAGACTATTTGACATTCCTAAGTTTGTCTGGTGATGCCAGGCTAGTTTTCTACCCTGGATGGTCATACTTACATTAACTATCATTTCTGATCTCTGCCAAATAACAGTCACTTCTGCCCCCCCCCCCCCCCCCCCCTTCCCCCATTTGAAAAACACCATTTCACACCCCTTTCAGAGGTGTCAGACTAATTAACTACTTTCAACACTTTAAATTTTAAGCACTGTGAAACTATATTG